ATAGATTAAGGAAGGGGGAGGGGGGGGATGAATGCGTAATCCACCACTGGGGCCCAATCCCATTCGCTGGGAGAGTATCTGCCTTCTCGGTGTATCATGCATCCCTCAACCCCAATCCCCTCAAAACATTCATAAAATAATCATCACAAAAAGTTTGATCAAGAACAACATTAACCCCCATATTAAAAGGGGGAGGGGGGGATGAGTGAGTGATCCCCCACTGGGGCCCAATCCCATTCACTGGGAGAGTACCTGCCTTCTCGACGGATCACACACTCCACACCCCCAAGCCCCTCCCAACATCCATACATCAATCATCATAAAACATTTTGAACAAGATCATCAAGATTTGAAGGGGGAGGGGGGGATGAGTGCGGGATCCCCCACTGTGGCCCGATCCCATTCCACGGGAAAGTACCTGCCTTCTCGACGGATCATGCACTCCTCACCCCCAATCCCTTAACATAATTAAGCAACAAACAAAGAAACAATAAGGATCATCTTTCAACACCTGACCAAAAAGATTTCGTCTATATTTAAATTTAAATTTAAATCGCGAGGAGAGAAGACTCAACAAATGATCAATTAATATTAGCTGAGGAGCATACATAACAAAATAGTTTATTTCATCTGAAATCTTTCAGTTTTTCCAAAAGAGATGACTGAATTTATATTTGAATTCATTCTTTCTATTTAAAGACTTAAGCTCAGGATTAAGGTCATTCCATAGAGTTGGGTATTTATAGAATGGAAATCGTTTAAGAGACTCTAAGTTTATTCTAGGTATTAAAAGTCTTCATTGTTTCTTAGCTGATATTCACGATTTAATTGATTAATTGGAAACTCCCTTTGCAAGGACGCTGGGGCATAATCATAAACGATGGAATGCATAAAATTTAAAATTTGTTGATTAATAAGGTCAGGTAGTGGGAGAATTTTTAAGGAGTAAAAAATTGGATCAGTGTGAGAATTGTATTTAGATCCTTGGATAGTACGAACACATCGCTTTTGGAGTTGAAATAGAAGGTTAATATTTCTAGAACTTGAAGAACAGTAAACAGGGAGACAATATAGAAAATGAGGGTGTATCAGGGCGTAATATAGGGATTTTAGTGCATTTAAAGACAAAATGTGACGTACTTTTTTAAGAGAGAAAAGGGCTTTAGAAATCTTTTTAGATGTAACTGATATATGGAAATCAAAAGTTAAGTTTTCATCAAGCCAGACTCCTAGTATTTTAAAGGCAGGATTAGGACGAGTATTCATTGGTAATTCTCTCAATCGGATAAATAAATCTTTTTTCTTGGACAACATCAATATCTAAAGATGAAATATCTAAAGATGAAATATCTAAAGATGGAATATCTAAAAATGAATATCTTATTCATACTTGATCAGACAAAGGGTTCCGTTTAAAATTGAGCGTTGCTATCTTTGTATGGAGGGCCACTTGATATTACACTTTCAGTCCCTTTAAAGGGAATAATCTCAAATTTTAATAAGGATGTTGGAAAGATTAAGTAGATATACATGAAGTTTAAAAGCGTGAAGCGGGCAAGCTCAGGATATTTATTTTAGAATTTCCTCAGATATTCTTCAGAAGATATTATTAACAATACGAAGTTAAATGATGCTATTTTTTTGCCTTCAGATCGAATATTCAGAAAAATATTTTTTATCCAAAAAAAGAAAATGGGTTCAAAATAGAGGTTCTGGCAGTCATAAGAATATTATTTAAAGGAACAGTAAGAATATTATTTAAAGGAACTGTAAGAATATTATTTAAAGGAACTGTAAGAATATCATTTAAATGGACCATGTAAGAATATTATTTAAAGGAACTGTAAGAATATTATTTAAAGGGACTGTAAGAATATCATTTAAAGGAACTGTAAGAATACTATTTCAAGGAACTATAAGAATATTATTTAAAGGAACTGTAAGAATATTATCTAAAGCTGTACTGTAAGAATTTTATTTAAAGGGACTGTAAGAATATTATTTAAAGGGACTGTAAGAATATTATTTAAATGGACCATGTAAGAATATTATTTAAAGGGACTGGAAGAATATTATCTAAAGCTGTACTGTAAGAATTTTATTTAAAGGGACTGTAAGAATATTATTTAAAGGAACTGTAAGAATATTATTTAAAGGGACTGTAAGAATATTATTTAAAGGGACTGTAAGAATATTATTTAAAGGGACTGTAAGAATATTATTTAAATGGACCATGTAAGAATATTATTAAAAGGAACTGAAAGAATATTTTTTAAAGAGACTGTAATAATATTATTTAAAGGGACTGTAAGAATATTATTTAAAGGTACTGTAAGAATATTAATTAAAGGTACTGTAAGAATATTATTTAAAGGGACTGTAAGGATATATTTAAAGGGACAATAAGAATATTATTTAAAGGGACTGTAAGACTTTCTATTTGTAAAGTTAAAATAGCTGTTAAATAAATTTCTGGTTTTCTAATCAAAAGTGGTTTGCGCAATTCTGCTACAGAAACACTTTTTAAACAAGAAACCGACGACATCTTTTACACTGAATTGGTGAAGCTTTTTAAGATCACCGTTGTGATTGTGTGAACATTTCTCTGTTTATAATAGGAGATGAAATTACAACAATGGTCCGTTAAATATATTTGTTTTAGACCTTTGAGAATCCCTCGGCAGAATCATGCATGTGTTTCTTATATTGAAGGGGGAGCTGTCAAGGTAACATAAAAAAACCTTTAGCATTTTTTCCGGATCCTTCAACTTGAAAAATTCTACAATTGCAATTATCACAGTGGACTAGGGTCAATTTAAACTCAAACCGGATCTACTCCTTGTACACTGTACAGGCCTTAGTGACGTGCGGCAAGTACAGGCCTGATCTTTTCCTATGTTGGGCCGGGTTAATGTTGATGGCGCGGCCAGACTTTTTACTGTACCCGGCCTATCATAGACATATTTGACCTACCCCACTAGCTTAGTTTAGTGTGATATATGTGAATAACTAGGGTTGGATGTGTTTGTCATGCCCTGGATGTCAGTAATTTTATTTTATTTAATTTTGAGAGAATTTTTATTCCTTTTTTTCCTGATTTTATGATCCTGGGTATTAAACGTTTCTTATTTGTTACGAGGCAAATATATAAGTAACCCAGTTTATACCGGCAAAGCAAGTTTTCTTTTCATATTTCGGGGATTTTCATAAAAATAATTTCACATTTTATCAACCTTAAATTGAACAATTGTGATCATCTAGGAAAATATGTTTTTATAGTGATTTTGATTTTTTTTGTATGTTTTCGATTAATATTTAAGATGATTATTAACCAAACCAAAAAAGTACAAATATTTTTGATACAAAGTTTTTTTTGCTCAAAGAATTTTGAAGCCTAACTTAACGTAAAATTAGATAAAAGACTATTTTGAGCAATGGCTAATATTTTTTCAACTTATTTAAAATTTTAGTGAGACAGACATATATATCAATTGTGACGTAAATAAGCGTAAAGTTAATTAAGGATAAAAGGATAATTTTTTGAAAAAAATATGTTCTTAAATAATTTTTCTCGCGAAAGTTGTAATATTTTTTTCAAGACTGAATAGAAAGCATAAAACTTTGTTGAATGCCTGTAAAAATCAGATCGTAATTAAGGTTATGGTTGCTGGAGGTTTGACTATAAATGGTCAACGTCAAAGTTTGCCCCTTGATTCAGTAGAATCCTTGACCCTTGATATAGCAGGAGAATCCTGGTTTCAGGAGGCAAAACTGCCAAATATAATCATAGGTGCAGTTTCTTTTTCATTTTTACTTCGCGCTTATATATGTAATAATAAAAAAAGGAATTTCCAAAAAATTTCAATTTAAAGGCTATAAACAAGTTCTAGGAATGATAGTCACAAAGGACTTGCAGGAACTAATAACTGCATAGGACTACACAGACCTATAATTAAGGAACTATAGTGGATAAAAAGGACTAGTGGATGAATTATAAAAAGGACTAGTGGATGAATTATAAAAAGCTATAGACTGCAATAGAGGACTTAATACACATTTTGACTAAGTCAGAGACTGTCAGACATTTAAGGGAGTGTTCGCGAAAAATGAAATTGTTAAAAACGACTTATTCTGAAGCGTCCATAAAAATTCAGCAAGTTGCAATATACGACTCGGATCGTAAAAAAATAAAATTAATTTCAAACACATCATTCAGATATTACAAGCTATAGTCATCGATTATTTTTTTAATTGATTATTTTTCATATATAGTTAATATTTATAATAATAATATTTATATAATAATTCTGTTTATATTTATTGGTCTAGTTGAACCAGTGGTTTAGTTCTCTATATATTTATTGCTCTAGTTGAACCAGTGGTTTAGCTCTCTGTATGAAAGCAACCCAACCTACGTCAGCTCAAGGCCTGCAAACAGAGAACTCAAGTATGCAAGATTAAAGATGCAAGATGTGGTTAAGACAACATCGTTTTTTCAAAAAGTGTTTAGTTCTAATAGTTTCTCTTTTGTTTTTTAAAAGTAAGAAATGCGCAAAACGCTTTTTTTTTTAAAAAACCACAGATAAATATCTTAAAATGAATATCTAAAAATGAATATCTAAAAATGAACATCTAAAAATGAATATCCAAAAAAGAATATCTAAAAATGAATATCTAAAAATGAATATCTAAAAATGAATATCTAAAAATGAATATCAAATCAAATCAATCAAATCAAATCATTTATTTCTGCAGAAAAAAAAACAATATTTACGAATTAATTTTTAAAAATTACAATATGTAAAATATTATTTTCCGCAGCAGGCGGACTCAATAGCCTGGGGCTGTTTTAGCTGAGCCCCCCTGTTAACCAAATTCTTTAATTAAATTTTAACATTAAAAAAAAATATATATACACAAAAAGAACCAAAGAGAAAATCAGTGCAGCATCAATCGAAGGTTGGGCATGGAGACAGATAGGGATTCATAACATAAACAGAGAGTAACTAATATATTTGAATTTAAAAAGGATCTTGGGCTCAAAGTAAACGGCAACTCCGACAAAGAGATTAAGGAGGGGGGAGGGGGGGATGAATGCTTAATCCACCACTGGGGCCCAATCCCATTCGCTGACGTTTTGTATACAATGCACTTCAAACGCCAAAATAGTTGCTCTGGAACTATATATGAATGCGTCGAAAAATAATCGATGACTTTAGGTTGTAATATTTAAATGGTTTGTTTGAAATTAAATTGATTATTTTACGATACAAGTTGTATATTAAAACTTCCGGAATTTGTATGGACGCTACGTTCTTCAATATAAGTCGGTTTTAACAATTTTCTCCTTATAGACGCAACAGATAGAATAAGATTAGTAGCAAACAAAAGCGATTATTTTTCGCTGTAAACCTATACCCCCTTCCAGTTTTCGCGAACACTCCCTTTAAGAACTATAATAAAAAAGACGAAAGAAGAACAGATATTTTTGGCGATTCACTTCATTGCTTTCATTTTCAAAAAAAAAATCGACACACCCCAATCACACAAAATAAAATTTCGCCCCCCCCTTCCCCCTCTCAAAAGTGCTAGTTGCGTTACTGAGCAGGTCGCGATTAATTCCTGGAATTTTTAGGCTTTAACCTATACCCCTTACCATTTCACCTGAACAGTCCCTTTAAGTAAAGAGTCATGTGCAATATCTACAATAGTCCCTTATTTAGGTGGTAAAATGACTGTAGTAAACAACAGACCAGCTTTGCTCGGTAGATTTGGATTCGAAAATACTAATATTATGCTTCGCTATACTCTGCAGCAGGTTTATTTACTTTTCAATAACAAACAAATTTTTAAAGAATAATTTTAAATTATTTTTTTTTGGTTCAAGACATAGTAAATAAAGTAAATTATGTCTCGCCATTTCTAATTGTTGCCTGAGCTGAGATTTTAAAAGCTTACACCTAAGTAAAACCTGGTCTGAGCGTCTCTTTAGACCCAAGTCAATGCTCGGGATTTAGATGATGAGATCATCAACGTAATCCCTCGCCTGGTGTAGCTTATAGGGATCTCTGGAGAGGGTATCTCGGACCCTCTCAACATTGTGTAGGACAGCAGCTCGGAGCCTACGTTCCTGTCTGATAACAAGATCATGCAGCTTCTGCTCTCGGAGCAGCTGGTCTCTGAGATCATACACAGTTTCTACTCTCTGGAGAGGAGAGGCCCGAAGATCATAATCTGGATCGTCAGAATCCTCTTTATCTGAGCTGAGGCCGGTCTCCTGAGTTACATCAGAGTTCTCTGTGGAATCCATGTTTGGAACCAAGGATTCAAGCCGGGACTCAAATCCCCATCTTCAGGGAACAGTTGATAAAGCTCTCCTCCCTCCAGATGCATACCAGGATCAAGATGATGCAGGGTAGAGGGAGAAGGACCAGGGTCTCTGGCTGAGGGCTCCTCAAGAACCTCCGGCAGTGAGACAGCATGTCCCTGAAAGAATGAGGGGGAGAGAAGGCAGGTGGGTGCTCGGGAGATGGAGGGTTGAGGATGGAAGAGGAGCTGGTGTAGATCTGAGAGAAGGCATCAGGGTTTGGGTTCATCAGGACTGGTGGAGTAGTATGCTACTAGAGATTCTCTTAAGGTGTTATCTTCTTGAAAATCTCATGTAGATGATTCGCTGGCTGGGTTTGCGCGGAAGCTGGGTCTCAGACAGCATCATCAATCCAGGGGTTGGAGTGTCTCAAATGTAAACATGAAAAAAGGGACTGTTCCCTTGTTTCATTAGTATATCTATATATATATATATATATATATATAAATATATAATAAATCTTGTTTATCTTATCTCAGAATACTTCACTTGTCACAGCTGATCTGTCGGCAATATGTCTGCTACAAAGAGAAAGCTTTCTAAGCAGTCTCTGATTGGCTGAATCAGAACCAATCCTGACTTGGGTGCTATCTGAGCCCAAGTCGGGGTTTTACTCGGGTATAAGCTTTTAAAATTTCAGCTCTGAGCGCATCTGCAGAAATGTGTCTCCAGCTCCTCTTTGTTTTACTTCTTGTTAAGAATGAGTTTCTTTTCTTTTATTGAATATTGTTCCTCTTTGTGCGTTTAAAAAGAAATCAAATTGAAGTTCCTGTTTTTTCCATCAGTTTGATAAACAAAGCTTAGAATCTTTATATTGTGTACTGAAATGTGAGTGCAAGGTTATAATGCAAGGAAACTTATTTCAGAGGTGTACGCATCTTTTATACTGCAGTGTAATGTCTCTGGGCGGTAATGTAAACACAAGACAGATGTTGAAGCCTGACATGGGATCCATCTTTCACATACAATAGCAATGAAATATTCTGGTCAAAGGAAACTATTATTTGATTTATCAAAATTATCAAAATCAAATGCCTTTATCCTCCTTGGATACTCAACGAACACTAATGCATCTATTCTTGTTTACAAATTCCGCCCAGGGAGAACTGGTTTCCATATGTACGCAGAGTATACGCAACTGCAATTAACTTTCCTTGCATTATAATCTTGTGTGCATGTAAGTATTGAAGAAAATTTGTGCTATATAATGATACCCTTGAATTTGAATCTAATATTGCCCTTGAAAAAAAATTGAAGAAAAACAAATTTATAAAAAAAAATATTTGAAGTTTTTGGCCTATGTCACACCCAGGCTACCCATGAGTGTCCACAAAAAATTTCAGCCCATTTGGTTCAGCCGTTTTGCCAGACAGAGGGAACATATTTACGAATGTCTGAAGTTTTATTATATACATATAACATATATAAAACTAACTAATAACACTCTAAATTTCGATATTAAAAAATTATCTTATTTGGCGGCTTGAAAAGTTGGATGGCTGGCAAACAACCGACAAAAGATCGTTTAATTGGCAGCCATCCATCCGACTTTTAACGTCAAATTTGTATTTCCTTATTTTGAGGAAATAACACGCAATAAATTTAAAATTTGTATTCGTTTATTATTCACATTTTTACAATTCAGGGAACAAAATTTTCTATATTTTCTAGTCTCCATATCTTCACAACCTGATGGTGTAAACTTCAATGATATTTCAAACTGTTATTATATCTAACAGAATTCATAGTTTTAAGTATATTCTACGGCATTGGGTTGCCAATGTGTAGGGATTAGAAAATTAGAGTTAGGGGCAAGAACTCAATTTCTTTTCCAAAAAATTAAACTTTTGAAATAAACACGAGGAGATGGATTAATAAATATATTATTTTCAGACCTGGGAAATTATTCCGACCAAGTTAAAAGTTGGACGAAGTGATTTTAAAATATTAGAACTCCCCGTCCGAGCAGCTGTTTATCCAGTTAACGGAAGGTAAACTGTCAGATTTGAATAATAAAAAAGTATAAGGTGGAAAAAATTTAAGACACTTTTCATTAAAATTCTAGACAGTTCACTTTACACTTTACACTTTACACTTTGCACTTTACACTTTACATTTTACACTTTACACTTTATACTTTACACTTTACACTTTACACTTTACACTTTACGCTTTACACTTTACACTTTACACTTTACACTTTGCACTTTACACTTTACACTTTACACTTTACACTTTACACTTAACACTTTACACTTTACATTTTACACTTTACACTTTACACTTTACACTTTACACTTTACACTTTACACTTTACACTTTACACTTTACACTTTTTCTGAGCGCCGCTTTTGTTATCACATAAATTTGTAAATTTTATCTATTTCCTTCGTTATATCTGTTGCATAAGTTCGTAAGTCATTGATAAAATAATTCATATGTTTTGCTCAGTCCAAGGTCTAGAGGGTTGTGAACCGACTTGACCTGTGTACAGTCCCATACAGATTTTTACCGTCTATAGTTTTCCTCAATACATCAATATTGCAGGGCTCTGTCCCTTTAATACCTTGATATTATAGGGTTCTGTCTCTTTAATACCTTGATATTACAGGGTTCTATCCCTTTAAAAACTTGATATTGCAGGGTTCTGTCCCTTTAATACCTTGATATTACAGGGTTCTATCCCTTCAATACCTTGATATTACAGGGTTCTGTCTCTTTAATACCTTGATATTACAGGGTTCTGTCCCTTTAATACTTTGATATTACAGGGTGTCTAGTGGTCCTGATGGTACCTATAACATGATATTACAGGGTGTCTAATGGTCCTGATGCTACCTATAACATGATATTACAGGGTGTCTAATGGTCCTGATGCTACCTATAACATGATATTACAAGGTTCTGTCCAGGTGTCAAGTGGTCCTGATGGTACATATAGCATGATATTTCAGGGTGTCTAGTGGTCCTGATTGTACCTATACCTTGATATTACAGGGTGTCTAGTGGTCCTGATGGTACCTATAACATGATATTACAGGGTGTCTAGTGGTCCTGATGCTACTTATAACTTTATAATACAGAGTGTTTAGTGGTCCTGATGCTACCTATAACATGATATTACAGGGTGTCTAGTGGTCCTGATGCTACCTATACCTTGATAATACAGAGTGTCTAGTGGTCCTGATGCTACCTATACCTTGATAATACAGAGTGCCTAGTGGTCCTGATGCTACTTATAACTTTATAATACAGAGTGTCTAGTGGTCCTGATGCTACCTATAATATGATGTTACAGGGTTTATAGTGGTTCTGATGCTACCTATACCTTGATATTACAGGGTTTCTAGTGGTGTTGATGAAACCTATACCTTGATATCACAGGCTGTCTAGTGGTTCTGATGGTACCTATACCATATTATTACAGGGTGTCTAGTGGTCCTGATATTACCTATAAAATGATATTACAGGGTGTCTAGTGGTCCTGATGCTACTTATAACTTGATAATACAGAGCCTCTAGTGGTCCTGATGCTACCTATAACATGATATTACAGAGTGTTTATTGGTACTGATGCTACCTATAACATGATATTACAGGGTAGGGTGTCCAGTGGTCCTGATGCTACCTATAACATGATATTACAGGGTGTCTAGTGGTGTGGATGCTACCTATACCTTGATAATACAGGGTGTCTAGTGGTCCTGATGCTACCTATACCTTGATATTACAGGGTGTATACTGGTCCTGATGCTACCTATAACATGATATTACAGGGTGTCTAGTGGTCCTGATGCTACCTATAACATGATATTACAGGGTGCCTATTGGTCCTGATGCTACCTATAACATGATATTACAGGGTGTCTATTAGTCCTGATGCTACCTATAACATGATATTACAGGGTGTCTAGTGGTCCTAATGCTACTTATAACATGATATTACAGGGTATCTAGTGGTCCTGATGCTACTTATAACTTGAATAAAGTAAAGCGAGGAAGTGAGTTTACAACAGGGAAACAGATTCACCCCTGGGTAGAACTAGATCTTGGTGCAGAGATAAATATAGCCGGGGTAATAAACAAATTTATATAAATATAGCCGGGGTAATAAAAAGATTTATAAATATTGCCGGGGTAATAAACAGATTTATAAATATAGCCGGGGTAATAAACAGATTTATAAATATAGCCGGGGTAATAAACAGATTTATATAAATATAGCCGGGGTAATAAACAGATTTATATAAATATAGCTGGGGTAATAAACAGATTTATATAAATATAGCCGGGGTAATAAACAGATTTATAAATATAGCCGGGGTAGTTAACAGATTTATGAATATAGCCGGGGTAATAAATAGATTTATGAATATAGCCGGGGTAATAAACAGATTTATAAATATATCTAAGGTAATTAGTAGATTTATAAATATAGCCGGGGTAATAAACAGATTTATATAAAACTGAAGAGAATTGAGTCTTCGCCACAAACTTTGATTTTATAAACCCTTTATATTTTCAACCGAATGAAGTAGTAGATATTTCAAACTTTAAATTCTGATAGATCTAAATTAAAAGCTTAAAATATCAAAGCGTTACATCTATCAAGTTGCAAAAATATAAGGATTAGAAAATTAAAGTTTTTGCCAAAGACGCAAATACACTCTAAATGAATTTCATCAGGTTAAGTTTGAATCCGGAAGCAGTGCTACCGCTCAGGCTGTAGAGGTAAAAATATAATTATTTATAAAAAATTATGAAATATTAAATTGAAAGGAAATGAGTTTTTTCCACAAACACTTATTTTGGAATCTCTATATCTTTGCAAGTGCAACCCGATATCAAATAACCTTGATATTTCAAACTATGAATTTTGTTAGATCAAAATTCAAAAAGTCTGAAAGTTTGAAATATTTAGGATTCACCCCATCAGGTTGCAAAGATATAGGAATAAGAATATTTGAGCTTGTGGCAAAAGTATGTAGATTAGAATATTTTTTATCATCAGTTATAGAACCACTTTTATCTAATTTCATTTCAAAGTACACTTTTTAGGAAGCTGTGTCAGGGGAACATTGTTTTTAGAAAAGCAAATGTTTAGAATAAACTATTTTGAAATTTTCTAAACTTATCAGATTTTTGTGGAATCTAAAAATTGAGTCCAAAATCCATACAAAACCAACTAATTTATTTGCACGTGACTACGCCGCGTATGAATAATGGTTTAATCGTCAGAATTAAACTGTTGAACTGTTTTTTTTTCTAACAATTTAACACTAAGCATACAAAAAGTACGTTATTAAATTTGTTTGTCTACGGTTGGTTAAATTAACATAAGAAGCTGGCAGTTCGTTAAAAAAGAGCTTGCCGGATTCACAGCGTATCCTTTAAACATATGTGATCAAAAATGTGGAATATGTATCGTTTCCTTGCTTGAAATGTGATAAATTCTGGGCTATTTCTTTCATTGTTTCTTCTGCACTTTTATAGAGCAAGCTCAATTCAAATCTATGAATTTTTGAAGATGAAGGGTGCCGTTTTAAATCGAACATGTCAGTCTTTGCAAGGGTAGTCACTTGAAATTACTGAGACCTACTCAATACTGCCTGGACCTAGTTTTGTGAATTGGAATTGGAAAGGTCGTTGAACTACCAACTGATAGTTCAAATCCTGAATCACAGATTCAATTCCTCATGAATCTTTAATTTTAAAATCGGGGATTCGAGATTTGAACCGGCGCCAGGTGGTTCAGAGACTCGGCTCAAATTCGGTACCTGAAAATGTTGTTTTTAGATCCGGGTTGGGTCGTCTCCTATTCCAGGAGGGGAGACGGTAGATACATTGATCAGTGTTAACAATAAATGCTCTGGAGCTCCTGATGGTGTTACAGCCCCAGTAAGTACTAACTACTATATACTGTAGACATATTTCAAGGTTGTATGAATAACAAACACGCGCCTAAAAGTAAACTCAACCTAAAGTCTGACCGCGTCAACCTTGTTGAACCGGGTAGTCCTATTGAGTGTCTGCTATATTTAATGTCCGGGCGATACAGTACTAACTGGGACCGGAAAGATTGACCCGGCTCGGAAATTTAAATGTACTACGGCTGCCCGTGTAATGGTACCCTGAAAACCTCTATATTAGTTAATTAATGAAATATCAATTTTCATTTTTTCTTTCTAAAAAATTTAACTTTGTTAATTTACTTTGTTGTTTCTGGAGTATAACTTTTTTACACTGAACCCGCAAATAGAAATGAACAATTTTCAACATTAAAAATATTTCTGAAACACCATTTGAAATTCGCTGCAAGATTTCAATAATGATTCTAAGCGTAAGATATAAAACATACAATAATTGCAATGATTTATTTTTAGCGGTTGAACGATCGGTTGAGATTGCATGACGCAATCAGCAGTTTTTATATAAATGTGAAATGCGATTTATTTATTTCTCTTTGGTTCAACCGCGAAATATTTTTAGCTGAATATTTGTTGCCTTCAATGATGGTTGTCATATTTTAAAAATTTTTTTTGCAGTATCAAATTAAATCAATGTGTGTTTACAGTGGTTAAAGACACCAGAGTTTTATAAAAAAATATGTGTAATTGTGGCGGTCGAAGGAAAAAATCATATAAAAATTTGTATTCTAGCGGTTACAAGCCAAAGAGTATTTAAAAAATATTATAATTCCAGCAGAAGAAACAAACATAAAATTATAAGATATGTGTTTCCATTGGCAGAAAAAAAGATTTATCATACAAATAAGTAATTTTTCATTCTTAACTACAAGAGTCTAGGCTATGTCTCATCCGCTTGTTCAACCGCTCCCGCTGGAATTTTTTCTTCAAAGAGTATGTTATTTCAATAAATGCTTCCATTTTGAAAATACTAATCTTTCGATTATCAGGTGTACAGTGCATGTAATAAGAAAGGAAGATATGTTACTGTTCAACTAATAGCTACAACACCAGGTATAGAAAAGTAAAAAGTATCATTATTTAATTCGAAGTGCTATTTATTGAAATAGTTTTAGCGTTTAAATGTTCCATTTATTAATCTACAGCGATAACAAGAAAACTCTGAAATAGGAAGACGACTTTTAAACTCAAGTTAGGGCTTAATCTAGTTCAATGAACATTAGACATAGCAATTGTACAGTGTAAATTGACCCTTTTCACTTAAATTGTGCTTTGCTAAGTTACTAGTAAAGATTAGTAAGTATTGCTTAAATACGTCGTCTTTCTATTCCATTGTTTTCTGGTACTGTACAACAATTTTTTCTTCGTACATTAAAAAAGTTTTAATTTTGCAGATTGCAAAAATATTTAAAGATTAAATTTATTTTACATTTTTTTAGACACTCTTCTTGAAGTTGGAAGAATTAGAGTGTATGGCAGCACTCCATCTTGTTTCTAAAATACTAAACATCTAGATGTAAACAAAACAGATAACAATGTAAGAATATTAATAAAAATATATTTTACTTGCTTACTTTATTTTTTCAATTCTCACACAAATGAAGACAAAGCAATTGAGTCTTTCTCACAAACTCAAATTTTCTAATCCCTATATCTTTGCAGACTGGCATCGTAGACCTTTGAAATTTCAAACTATGAATTATGTTAGATAAAAGTTGGAAATATCGATGGTCTACAGCATAAGGTTTCAAAGATATAGATATTAGAAAATCTGAGTTTGTGGCAAAGACTCAATTCTTTTTCTGAGGAAATGATCTATGTAATAAAACAAGACATTCGTATATATATATATATTGCGTATAGCCGGCCAAACGGCTGGACCGAATGGGCTGAAACTTTTTGTGGACACTCGACAAGAGTGGCCGAGGAATGTTATAGGCTATAAAAAATCCAAATTTTTTAGTTTTTTAAAAAAAATTAAATTTTTTTAAAATTATTATTCAACTTTTTTTCCGCGGGCAACGCCGAGCCCTTCAGCTAGTGTTACATAAAAAGAGATCATTTAAATATTCTAAATTCTGGAAAGATTTAGGAAAGGCGGTTTTATGGAGACAGACAGATAAGTTTACCATGATCTTGCCAGGCTATATTTGTTGCATAAAACGTGCTGGCTCGACTCTACACTGTACAGTACGACGTACTCCAAGTACAGTAAGTGTTGTACTGGAATGTATGTAAAAAAAGTCACAGAAAAAAAGTTTCTGGAAAAAACCTGGAAATAAAAATTTTCTGAAGTCCTAGAACAAAATGTTGCTGAATATTAAGTCCCGAGTTTTAGAGTATTGGGACTTTTTTCCTAAAATGATACAGGGGCTGCCATTAAAGTCTCAGGAAATAAGATCATGGGAATTAAAGTTCTAAAGAAAATGTATCCGAAGAAAAAAAAAACCAATAAAAAATTCTAAGTCTTTGGAAAATGAGGTAAAGTCTGAGACGTTTTCAACAAAAAGAATTTTCTTCTATGCATCTGCATATTGAATGTATCCCGAGGTGTTTTTAATATCGATCCATTTTTTTCATTGTTGTAATGTTTCCATGCATTTTTCACTATAAGACTTTTTTGTATGAAATCATGGAACCAGAAAAAAGTGCCAGAAAATAAAGTCACAAAATAGTAGAACTTTATTTCAAGAGACTTTTATTTAAAGTACTTTTTTCCACAGGACTTTTTCAGTGCCAAAATTGATTTTATTTTGGCACTGAAAACTTTATTTCCGAAAACTTCTTTTTAAAGAACTTTTTTGGCGGTTACCGTTGTACTGCATGGATAATGATACTCTTAGATTGGGTTGAACAGGAGAACAGGAGAACTCGAGATCGCATAAGTTCCGAAAATACTAAAGATTTTGTTATTTTCATTATCTTGAGATATGTTAGGCCTGCTAAGTAACCGCAAGCTCTTACAAAGAAGGCATACATTACTAAAATATACAAGTACAGGGCTATAAAAGGCCGACCCGGTCTCAAGCTGTCTGGATCTGTATGTGTGGGAACCTGTATTATAAGATCATGGATAAGAGAATTCTAAAAATATTATATTTGGTTATTTTTTCAGAATGGACCATATTTTAATATTTTATGGAAAATATTTTGTTTTACACAAATAATTGTTAAATATTTTAGAGTAAAATTTAAAAAAATAATAACTAAAATATTTAAAAAAAATAAAATATTTCTGAACTCAATGTTTCAAGACGGATATTTTTATACCCAACTTGATTTATTTAAACATTTTTCTTTGGCTTACATTAATGCACAAAAAGCAAAAGTCTGAATGAGTTCAATAATTTTGAAAAAATAATTTTAAACTCTATTTTTTAAATGTATTAAGGAAAACTTTATAACTGGTGCAAATTTAGAAATTTAGGGGCGCAACCAAACTTCGAACAAGTCAAGCCAATTTACTTTCCCATTTGTTCAGTAAATGAGCGGCAATAAAAAATAATATTTTTAAATTTTGGGAGTAAATTTTCTTTTATAAAAGCAGTAAAAGATGTTTGAGAGGAATTTGTCGAAAAAAGAACTGATTACACTATTTTAAATGCTAACTGTTCCATTTCTTTGTTCCTAGACACAAAATTAGTTCACCGATGAAATTTTGTTACTTCCAGTCTTTAGAAAGATAATTGTAAATTTGACAAAACATTTTTTTTGGCGACTTTGTTCTAGCATCTGATAAAAGGTTTTTGGATTGAAATTTTCTGGCATTTAGCATCCGATAAAAGGTTTTTGGATTGACATTTTCTGGCATTTAGCATCTGATAAAAGGTTTTTGGATTGACATTTTCTGACATTTAGCATCTGATAAAAGGTTTTTGGATTGACATTTTCTGACATTTAACATCTGATAAAAGGTTTTTGGATTGACATTTCCTGACATTTAGCATCTGATAAAATGTTTTTGGATTGACATTTTCTTGACATTTAGCATCTGATAAAAGGTTTTTGGATTGACATTTTCCGACATTTTAGTTAGTGGATTAGTCATAAATAAGATTCTTCTTTACATACACAATTTAGAATTAGACAATAAAGAACTAAACACATTGTCTTTTCCTTTCTATCAAGTAATACCAACATCATAATCTTTCTCAACTTCTTCTTTATAAAAATATTTGATTTATTGTTTAAAAATAAAATACTGAAAAATATTTATTCGACAGCTTAAAGATGTTTATTCATGCTGGCCCTAGCACGCTTTTATCTCCAAACAGTTTTATTACGTAAAATATAAATACCCCTTGAAATTAACATTGGTATAAAATGTGGAAGCAACGACCCGATGCGGAATGTATGAAGTGTAGAGGACGCCATCTTACTGTGTAGCAACGACATCAACACGGTAAAAGACGACCTCTACGTCAGAGGAAGACGATTTCAATCCAGGACTTTTACAGCTGGCAGATAACATAGAGTTAAAACCTAAAAATGGAAACCAGTTATTTTACGAGAAAATATTTCTGAATCAGGATAAAATTATTATAATTTGGAAAAATAGTTGCCGCAATAATATTCTCACCATTTATTCCTCTTCCTCCTCCTCCTCTTCTTCTTCCTCCTCTTCTTCGTACTCTTCCTCCACTGCAGCATCAGCACCTGGTGCTTCATCTTCTTCTCCTTCAGGAGTCTCTGGGTCACCAGACTTTTTGCCAGGGCGCTCACCGAACCATTTGGGAAGCTTGGACTTGGGTCTCTTGGTCCAGTCGTCGTATTTCTCCTTCCACATGGCCTCAAGCATCTCTGCTCTGACAACCTCCCAGCCTCCTTCGTACAGCTTCTTCCTGTCTCCGTAGGTTCTGGTGTCAGTACGTCTCTCATACTTAGAGAACATGCGTATCTTGGGTGGATGCTTGCCTGTGAATGCCTCGGGATCAAGACCCTTCTTGATGGCCTTGTTTCTAAGTTGGATCTTTTGTCTTTCTTTCAACTCTTTGAGTTCATAATCCTGTGCTAGTCTTCTCTGCTCATAGTCATATTTATCAGTCTCTAGATTGACAATGGTTTCCCACAGCACGCTGGCCTTACTCTTCAGTTCATCGGAATCCATGGCATCAAGATCTAAAGGTTTGATACGAATACTCAAAGAGATCTTCATCTCCTCTTCAACTTGTTCTTTGGTCTTGGACATTTCTCTGCGAGCATCAAGAGCTGGGGCTTGCTGTTTCTTTCCTCCTTTCTCCTTCTGTGCAGCCATCATCTCCTGTCTTTTACGCTCAGCTTCTTCAAGGCGCTTCTTCTTCTCCTCTGCCTCTTTAGCCTTCTTCTCAGCCTCCTCCTTCCTCAACTTCTCCTCTTCCTCCCTCTTCTGCTGAGCCAGTTTCTTCTCCTGCTCACTTCTGATCTCCTTCCTCTTGGCTTGCTTCTCCTTCATCCTCTTGAGCTCTTCCTCCTCCTTCGCTCTCTGCTTTCTCCATTCGTTGATGTACTCTTTCAACTGTTCGTCAAGCTCTCCCTTCTTAACTCCGTGCTTGGCCTTAGCAAAGGCTTCATCTCCCTTTTTAGAGGTTTGAGAGGTAGTCTCCTCCTCATAGTATTCGTCGTCAGACATATTTGTTAATCAGGCTTCCAGCTTTTCCCCTTAGAAAATATTCTACTTAATTTTTGACAAAAAAGGCTAAAAATAATCTTTTACAAACTTTAAATTTAACAAAATGAGCAATAAACTTTGTAAATACAATTGACGTAAGTTTCGCGTGTTTACAAAAGAGCGTGAAATCTCACCAAATGAGCAGCTCCCCTGTCTAGAAACTACTGGGGTCAGGTAGTAGCTGGGCTGGTCACAATGGGTTGGGTCGGACCAGGGCAAAATATACTGCCTCACCAATGCCATTGCAGACATTGTATTTATTTAAACTAAAAAATGTAATTTATAGACTTGAGTTGCTTTTTGCGATAAAAAATTTAAAAAGTTAAACAATAAATAACTACCCCTTAGTTATTGTTAGGATCCAGGTAGGGGATTGACCGGCCTTGTGTCTTGCTGGGCTAGCCAGGACACACCAGGGGGAGGGGTCAGGATATCAGGGTGGGCTGGAGTGAAGGTAAGAAGGGGAAATGAAAGTGAACAGAGAGTTTGGCGAAAAGCTACAGGGGAATACAGGGNCTAGGTCACACTACTAACTACAATCCAACATAAGGAAATTCCAGAGTACTGGAGAGACCCCCCTCCTCCCTCCTTTTTCAGACAGTTAGTATATTGTATTGTATTGTATTTTCATGAGTAGGAAGAGTGAATTTGAATAAGTATGATGGGAGTATTGTAGCTTAATGAGTAGGACGGGAGTATTGTGGTTTAATGAGTAGGACGGGAGTATTCTGGTTTAATGAGTACGATGGAGTATTGTAGTTTAATAAGTAGGACGGGAGTATTGTAGTTTAATGAGTAGGACGGGAGTGTTGCAGTTTAATGAGTAGAACGTGGGAGTATTGTAGTTTAATGAGTAGGACGAGAGTATTGTAGTTTAATGAGTAGGACGGGAGCATTGTAGTTTAATAAGTAGGACGGGAGTATTGTAGTTTAATAAGTAGGACGGGAGTATTGTAGTTAAATGAGGAGGACGGGAGTATTGCAGTTTAATGAGTAGGACGGGAGTATTGTAGTTTAATAAGTAGGGCGGGAATATTGTAGTTTAATGAGTAGGACGGGATTGTTGTAATTTAATGAATTGGACGGGAGTATTGTAGTTCAATGAGTAGGACGGGAGTATTGTAGTTTAATGATTAGGACGGATTATTGTAGTGTAATAGGTAGGACGGGAGTATTGTAGTTTGATAGGAGAATTGTAGTTTAATGAGTAGGACGGGAGTATTGTAGTTTAATAAGTAGGACGGGAGTATTGTAGTTTAATGAGTAGGGCGGAATATTGTAGTTTAAGGAGTGACGGGAGTGTTGTAATTTAATGAGTAGGACGGGAGTATTGTAGTTTTTATAAGTAGGAAAAGTGCATTGCAGTTTTAATAATGCATAGGACAGGAGTATTATGGTAGGAGTATAGGAGTATACGATTTTATTATTCATAGATTAATTAACAATAATAAATAGAACGCTAGACGTCGTCGTTTTAAGATTTAGGGGTTTATCGTTCACAATAACCCTGAGGCAGAGACCCAAAGGAGTTCCGCGCAGGTATGCATACTCTCTCTCTGTCTTGTAATTCAACGCTGTTGCGCGGAACTCCTTTGGCCTTCTTTCTCAGGGTTATTGTGGACGAAAAATCTTGAAAAGACGACATCTACTGTTCTATCTGTTATTGTTTATTAAACTATGGTATTATTGTTTAGATTAGTAGGAAGGTATGTAATGTAGTTTTAATTAGTAGAGGAGTAATATTGTAGTTTATAAATATAGGACGAGAATCTTGAAGATGGAAATATTGTAGTATTGTAGTTTTAATGAGTATAACATCAGGAATGTTGTAGTTTAAAGTGAGAAGTACGGAAATATTGTAGCTTTAATGAGTAGGACGGGAGTATTTGAGTTTATATGAGTAGGACGGAAGTATTTGAGTTTAAATGAGTAGGACGTGGACGGGAGTATTGTAGTTTAAATAAGTAGAACGGGAGTATTGTAGTTTAAATAAGTAGGACGGGAATATTAAAGTTTTTATGATTAGGCCGGGAGCATTGCAGTCTAAATAAGTTGGACAGTAGTATTGTAGTTGAAAGTGAGTAGTACGGGAATATTGTAGCTTTAACGATTAGGAAGGAAGTATTGTAGGTTAAATGAGTAGGACGGAAATATTGTAGTTAAAATAAGTTGGACGGGAGTATTGTAGTTTAAATAAGTAGGACTCGAGTATTGTAGTTTTTATAAGTAGAAAATGGCAATAGTTTAACAATTAAGAGCATGTATTTAATGTAAACTAGATGAAGAGCCCGGCGTTGCTCAGAGTTGGAAACTTTTGAATGGTGGATATCGGGATTAATATTTGATTCACTCTTTTTCTTAATTTCAAGATTAAATAATTCTTGTTCTTCTCTTGCTATTAATCTCCAGATTAATTAACCGATCGAGTTTTCAGCTCTGGTTACTTAAAGTTACTTCCACCGTTTACTCGCGCTTGGTCTTTATTTACGAATTTAGCTATTTTTTCAAATTAAAGCGGACATACTCAACTTGGAATCTTGTTTTTTTTAACGGGACGTTCAATAGAAATTCGTTACGTTTTTTAAATTACGAGTTTTTGTTAATTTGACCGTTTATTTACCTTCATGTCGTTAAAGATGATTAATCGTTAACAATAATTAAAAGTCAAAGTTTTATTTTTTAATTTTATGAAGATGATTTTTAAAGATGGTTAATCATTATCATTTTTTTATGTTTTTCGAATCAATTTCATTTTGTAAAAGCCTTTTGGAACCTCTTCTGGAGATCTAAAGAACCCGATAACAACTTTTAAATTTTTTTTTACAGAAATATGAATATTACCCCCTGTAAAAAATTGCTCGGTGCGACATGCTGAATAAAAATTACGAAACGATTATTTCGGAACAATTCCATATATGGAAGAATCTTTCCGTAATCACCTAGCTCTGCTCTGATTCTTGGGGTTAGACTTATTTAAGAAAATGTTCCATGATGTCTTTACGGAACTAAATTTTTCCGAAAGAAAAATTGAAAACCCCATTAATAAGGTTCTGTAGTTCAATGTTGACAGAAGCACTTTGCATTTGTTTCTCATGTTTTTCAGTTAATCATGGGCAGATAAGATCAGGGCAGAGCAATGTTTAAAATAAAAACAAAACTTGTTTTTTTCAGACATTCTTCAATTTTACAAAGAGAAAAAGAAAATACAGCAATGGGGGGGGGGTGTTACTTATACACTGCATGTATAATGTATTATGTTTAAAAAGCTGAACATACTCTTGAATAGTTTTAGAAATGTTAAAATCAACAATGTATCACGTTAAACTTTAATAAATGTGACTAATCATTTTCACGATTTGTTTTTTTATTATATCTATAAACTATTTTTTTCTTTTTGATTTTATTTTATACGAAAACAATAGGAAAATCGGGGTACAATTCTGTGCTTGTCCTTCAGTTCTTTTTTACATTTTTCAAAAGCTTTCTTTTTATCTACATTTCTATATTCATTCATTTGAACAATATTTACTAAAATGGAAAGCTGGATTCTTTGCAAGGTAATTTAAAAGTTGTTTTTCTCTGAGAGAGCAAAACTAAAAAAATGATAAAATACTTTTACAAATCTACCAAATAATACTTGTAAATCCGCGGGTTAATCTCTAAAAATGTTTACCTTAACAAGCCTGCTAATATTCTTGTTTGGCTGTGCAGCTATATTGCTGCTTATTTTCTTCTCCTTTTATTGCTTTTTTATCATGTACGATATCATTCCACCCATGAGGTAAGATCAATATGAATAATTCTCTTTTGTGAATAAGTTTATGGAGACGATAGGTTTCAATGTTATAGTGTTTAACATAAAAAATGTTTTTTTTTTCTTTTTTACGGGAACACCTAGGGTCAACCTAAACTGACCACTGCTTTCATTTTACAAAGACTGAAAAACTCAAGTTTTAAAGTACACTATTCTTTTTAAAAGCTTGCCAATGACCGGGGGGGAATTTTGAAGTGTTCAAAATATTAATTTAAAAAGAAATAGCTTTAGTTTAATGTTTGAATAAAACATATACAGCAGACATTTCAAATTAGATATTCAAATTTTCTCTTTCAACTAAAAAGTTTCAATATATGAGAAGATTGTTTCTTGGATATTCCAAAGTCGAGTTTTACGTTTGTTCTAAAATGCTTTTTAAAGGCTTCAAAAGTTTTACCTTTTTCAAAGTAAGCAAAAGGCTCAATCTGACCAAATAGATTATCAAGTACAATCGGTGACAACAGAGAAATGGATCAATTATACACGACGTAATTAAGTGTCAAATATAACAAGCAAAATAAATTTTCTCACACTAGTAGACATGTTTTCCAAGATTAAATAAAAAAGTGTTAAAACAGAAAATAAAGGACACATAAATTGCGATTATTTTTCTGCACTTTAATCTAAAACTATCACTATTATCAATAATTTTGTTGGACACAAAAACTAAATTGACACTTGTGATGTCAGAATACAGCTGTACTGAGAGTGTACAAATTCTACGTTGCCATCTATTGTACTAGAATCTATTTGAATCTAACAGAATTAATGACATATAAAACCACTAGACCTGAGATATTTTAAACTATGAATTCTGTAAGATCAATTACTCTAAGTTTAAAATATCAAAGGTTTACGCCATTAGTTTGCAAAGATAAAAGGATTAGAAAATTTGAGTTTGTGGCTAAGGCTCAACTCCTTTGTTTGCCTAAGTTTGGTCAGTATTTTATAAGAATGTGTGCTGTATGATAAGATAAAACTTACAGAATCTCCACTCCAAACTATATACTATAGGTATAAGAATGAGGTCGATTATTTACGGAATTACTGGTGCGACTTTTTGACCTCGTAGCTCCTCGACATAGTTTACGCCCGAGAATGCACGTCTGAAATTCAAAACTTGTTTGTTCATCCAAACTACAAAGAGCTCTTCAATTATGGTTAAAAACTAAAATTAAAACTGCGTCTATGTTCAATTTGACATAATTCTGAGTCCTGACATATTACGTTATTTGGAATTCTTTTAGAAATATAATTGTATGAATTAAGGGTTCCCAGGCCTATCAAGAGATCCTTTGGACGAGAGACAGAATTCATGGAAGATCAATCAATTCGCCCTTTCAAGTATCTAATTTTTAACAATTTTTTAATTATTTAAAGTTTTAATTTTATCCTATTTCAAGGTTGGTTTACTGCGAGAACGAGTTTGAAAAGATAAAGAACAAAATAAAAATGGATCTTGGTAATTTGTTATTCAGTGAGTTTTATCGAGATGTTTGAACAAAGTTTTTAGGAAAACTTTAGGGTTCAAACCCTAATGAAAATGGACACAATTTTTTTCAACGAGAATTTCTTTTCTATTTTTCAGAAGACGACTTTAAAAAATTAATTTTGCACACAACAAACAACACCGAAATAATGTAGAAATGTCATAAAACATGAAACCTATGGCAACTATTTTTCTACGTCGAGTAAAAGTTTATTAATTTTTTCGTAAAACTGAATCCAAAATTTTAAAAATAAAATAATGTGTTTATAGTTATTGTATATAAAAAAAAATATTTTATTTTTGGTCAATTACCCACTGAAAGTTTTAATGATTTTCACAAATAAAATCAAGGTTTCATAAACAAATATATTGTTTACTCTAGATAGCATGGGTAGCCTGCACCCTATATCTTCAGAAGAAGTATGCTATGGAATGAACATCAACTATATAAAGGATGTAGCAGACTACTGGGTTAACAAGTAAAACATCTTTTATTCTATTAAAAAGCATTCTTACATTAATTATTAAATAATAATATACTTGTCGGAGTAGATAAAAAAAAAATAACCTCAAAGCATGTTTGGTATTTCAAGAAAGAGAAATAAAAACCTATTAAACGTTATTTAAATGTGAAAACAGTTACATACTACAGGACTGACAGATGTCATTTTAAGTGACCCCCTATTCAAATTAGCATGTCAAATTCACAATAGTACTCGAAAACAATGGTTTGAACACAAATTTATTTCCAATGATGATATGCGGTTCAGTATAATTACAAATAATTTTCATCATTTAAAGACAGAAAACTATTTGATATCTCCTTAATTGTTAGTCTGTTAAAGGGTTGTATAGGGTATACCGTTGTGAATTGGGAATCTAAATAACGTCTTTAGTTCCTTTAAATAGAAAGAAATCAATGTGTTTGTTTTGTTTTAGGTTTGATTGGCAGAGACATGTGAACACATTAAACTTTTCCCGCCAGTTTGTTACTCAGATATCTGGCCTGGATATTCATTTTATTCATGTTAAACCTCCTCAAGTCATTTCAGCATCTATCACAGCCTATCCTATACTTCTTCTTCATAGTTTTCCTACATCAGGTATCCAGTATACAGGTAATTTCCTAGTATACGATTTTTGGACCCCCCCCCCTCCTATCAATTTTGTACATGGGTGTGACAGGAAGTTTCTTAACTTAACCTAACCCGTGGCCGCAGCGCTCGGCCCCCTAGCCCATCCTAGCCGCAGCGCTTGGCCCAGAAAGTATCTTAACCTAACCTAACCCTAAATAACAAAAAAATAAATAATAATAAATTTGCTGAAAAATAAATGGTCATGTACAAAATTGATAGGAGGGGGGGGGGGTCCAAAAATCGTATACTAGGACAGACCCCAGTATACAGTATACAGTATACAGTATACTGTATACAGTATACATTATACTGTATACTGTATACAGTATGCAGTATACAGTATACAATATACTGTATACTGTATATAATGTAGACATTCTACACAAATAGATTATCAAGTAAAATAGGTGGCAACAGAGAAATGGACCAATTATACACGACGTCACAAGTGTCAAATATAACAAGAAACATTAGTTGACATGTTTTACAAGATTAAATAAAAAAAATGTAAAAAAGAACACATAGAATTGCACTTATTTTATTGTAAAATAAGCACTTTATTCTATTATTAATAATTTTGTCGGACACATGTGACGTAAGAATACAACTGTACTGAAAGTGTACAAATTTTACGTTGCCATCTATTGTACTATAATCTATTTGATTCTACAAGCTAGATCGTTCCTTTCACGTTCGTTTTTTTTCCAATCGTTTCATTCACGTTCTGTTCAGTTCTTTGTGTTCTTAGTCGAGAAGGGTTCCATCCCAAGTGTTGATAAATTATTTATGTAATTTTCTTAAGTGGACTCCTCAGACACTCACTCTTAATACAGTGGTGTAGCTTACAAGGGGTGAAAAAAAGAGATGGAAACGATTCTTTAAAAAAAATCTATATTTTTACATAAATAATGATATCAAATCTATATTTACACTGAAGGCAGTATTGATTAAAGCTTTTTTAATGTAACCTTTTAGTTAAGGGCAAAAGTGAGATAAAGTATTTTTTATTACATAATGAAGGGGTGGGGGGGGGGGTGGGGGGTGCACTTTGACAGTTTGTGACACCTAATTCTGTACAAGCTGCGTTTGGTTCTAAAAATTGCGATAGAAGGCTGAAATTTTGCATGCAGCCTTTAATATTGGTCGTCTACATGGATCATGAAGAAAATCGAGATCGGAGGTCATTGACCTCCATTTTGACCTCCATGAATTCAGAAAATACCACTTTTTTCCCTCTAATTCACTTATTTTAAGTTAATCAGACAGGTTTTCACATTTTTTGCTAACCCATACATCATGTACTGATATTGACACATATATCCGACCTCCAGTTTGACCCCCCTTCAATTACGACCTCTAAAAAGGTCAAAATATGAAATCAATGTAAATGGGGTCATGTGAGGTATCAAATGAAGGTTTTTAATGTTCCAATTCCATTCTGAGACCCCTTTTTAACCTCAGATGATCCTGGAGGTCGTGACCTCCAAATATCAATGACCTCCGGAGGTCACAAATGAAATCAATGAAAATAAGTCACTCATGTGAGGTATCAAATCACAAGTTTTTTGGTGTTCCGATTATATTCTGAGACCCCTTTTTGACCTCAGATGATCCTGGAGGTCTTGACCTCCAGATATCAATGATCTTTGGATCAATGTTTAAAACTGAATAAGTCCAAATTTACTATTTGATATTAATTTGTTTATTTATTTAGCGTATGAATTTAGTTCACTGATTCCGCTGCTAGTTACTAACAATGGATCTCGTATTATTTTTGAAGTTGTAGCACCTACTCTTCCAGGTTAATATCTTTAGAATTTGATTTAGTTTAGTTTAGTTTAGTTTAGTTTAGTTTAGTTTAGTTTAGTTTAGTTTAGTTTAGTTTAGTTTAGTTTAGTTTAGTTTAGTTTAGTTTAGTTTAGTTTAGTTTAGTTTAGTTTAGTTTAGTTTAGTTTAGTTTAGTTTAGTTTAGTTTAGTTTAGTTTAGTTTAGTTTAGTTTAGTTTAGTTTAGTTTAGTTTAGTTTAGTTTAGTTTAGTTTAGTTTAGTTTAGTTTAGTTTAGTTTAGTTTAGTTTAGTTTAGTTTAGTTTAGTTTAGTTCAGTTAAATGCTGTATAAATATGTGGAAATGTATAGAATTGTAGATATATAGTTAATTAAATATTTAAATAAAGGAGATTTCTAAAGCAAAGATAAATGTATTTAAAATTAAAGTGTCTGTTAGCAAAAGTCTTAATGACTCTTATGGAAAAAAATAAAATCAACAAGTCATATAATTTTAATCAAATAATGTGAAGTTTGAAATCTCTTATTTGTCTGTACAAATTTGCAAGCCGTGGATTTCTACAGCAAGGATGAGAAAAAGAAGTTGAAGAGTAGAGTTTTTAATTGTAATTATACAACTTTATTATTAAAAATTGTCTGAAATTTCTTGGACAGTCTCTTTAGATTTTCTGTTGTTGAATATTTTCTATTCGTATAATTAACTCTTAGGAGAACACAATATCCTAATTAATTGATTAAATCTCTAGATCTAGCATTCCAAGCAAATATTTTACTCTGGGGAGAAGGGGGACAGTGGGATATTTTAGGGGGTCAGGAGAGGGAGATGGCTGGTTCTTGTCAAAATCTTCCTTTTAAAATTAATTTGCCTTGTGTTTCATGGTGAGAATGGACCATTTAGATGTATTCTGAAATCATAATATTTACAAACATAGTACCAATTGTACAGGCTGCGTTTGGTCCTAAAAATTAAGATAGAAGGCTTAAATTTGCATCCAGACTCTTATTGTGGTCATCTACTATAAGAACACGAAGAAACTCTGAAATCAGAGGTCATTGACCTCCATTTTGACCTCCATGAATTCAGAAAATACGGTAAAATACCACTGTTTAAACCTCATAAGTCTTGCGCTGAAATAGACTTATATATCCAACCTTCAGTTTAAACTCCCAATAGTGAACTCTAAAAAGGTCAAAATATTAAGTCAAATAAAATGGGTCATGTTTGGCATCAAATCATATGTTTTAGTGTTTCGATTCCATTCTGAGTCTCCTTACTGACAAATGATAATAGATGATCCTGAAGGCATTTGACTCAATATATCAGTGACCATCCTAATATATTTGCTTGGAATGCTATATCTAGAGATTTAATCAATTAATTAANCCCCCCCCCTTCTTTTATTTAGAATAAAAATGTTATTCTTCTTATCTAAACCTAATAACATTTGTTTGTTTTTTTATTTGTTTTTTTGTTTATTTGTGAACCTCATTAAATTTCATTTTTGGTTTTCAGGTCATGGTTGGAGTGAGGCAGCAAGCGAGGCTGGGCTAGATGGTTGTCAAGCAGGATTTATAATGCATGAATTAATGACTCGGCTTGGATATACTAAATACTTTATACATGGTGGAGGCCCAGGGGGTCTAGTTGCAGAACAGATTGCAGCAATACATCCAGAGTAAGCGAGAGGATCTCGACCTTAGCAAACATATTGTATTCAGGCTAAAGTAAGTATATATTTTTATATTGTATCCAGAATATACTTGTTTTTCAGTGAGAGGATATTGTATCCAGATTCAAGGATATTGAATACAGATTATTTAAGAATTAGTACAATATAAGGATATTGAATCCAGATTTAAGATTTAGTACAATACATGGATATTGAATACAGATTATTTAAGAATTAGTACAATACAAGGATATTGTATCCAGATTTAAGAATCAGTACAATACAATGAAAATGTATACATATTTAAGAATTAGTACAATACAAGGATAATGTATACATATTTAAGAATTAGTACAATACAAGGATAGTGTGTACATATTTAAGAATTAGTACATTACAAGGATAGTGTATACATATTTAAGAATTAGTACAATACAATGATAATGTATACATATTTAAGAATTAGTACAATACAAGGATAATGTATACATATTACAATACAAGGATAATGTATACATATTTAAGAATTAGTACATTACAAGGATAGTGTATACATATTTAAGAATTAGTACAATACAATGATAATGTATACATATTTAAGAATTAGTACAATACAAGGATAATGTATACATATTACAATACAAGGATAATGTATACATATTTAAGAATTAGAATTTTACAATGATATTGTATCCAGATTTGATAAAGTATTATACCATAATACAGTATCTAGATTTAAGAATTCGTACAATTTAATGGTATTGTATCCAGATTTAAGAATCAGTACGATACAATGATAGTGTACCCAAAGTTAAGAATAAATACAATACAAGGATACTATGCCCAGATTTTAGAATAAGTAGATAGGATTAAATCTTGTAGCCAGATACTAGAAAAAGTACGTGTACGAGGCTAGTATATTGCATCCAGATAATATATTTAATACGATGTCAGGATATTGTGTATTAATATTGAGTAAAGTTCTCGTTAAATCGTCAAATTTGTACAATCAATTTGTTCAATTTTTTGCAGAGAAGGTTAATTGCATTGAGTAAAAAGATTATTGAAGCAGAGTAGAGAGCTTTGAAAATGTTTATTTTTATTTCGTTTAATTCTAATAAATAAGGAGAATAATAGTGGTGGTAATATTCTCTACGCATAGGTTCAAGAAATAAATTCTAGTATGTTTTTGTAAATCTTTTATTCTTAAATATTGTTGTAGAAAGCAGAAGGATGAGAGAATATTCCTTGATATGTGTGAGAGAAGACCAGATACTCTGGGTATATGTTTATCTGGTTCCCCGCTATCCCTAGCTGTATTCTACCTAGAGATATTCTCTTCTTGGACAGATACTAAACTCAGGTTAAAGCCTAGATATTCCATCCCTTGCTGTATTCTTCCTAGAGATATTCTCGTCTTGGACAGATCCTTTACTCAGCATATATCCTAGATATTCCATCCCTAGCTGTATTCTACCTAGAGATATTTCTTCTTGGACAGATCCTATACTCAGGTTATATCCTAGATATTCCATCCCTTGCTGTATTCTACCTAGAGATATTCTCTTCTTGGACAGACCCTTTACTCAGGTTATATCCTAGATATTCCATCCCATAGCTGTATTTTACCTAGAGATATTCTCTTCTTGGACAGATCCTTTACTCAGGCTATACCCTAGATATCCCACCCCTTGCTGTATTCTACCTTGAGATATTCTCTTCTTGGACAGATCCTTTACTCAGGTTATATCCTAGATATTCCATCCCTTGCTGTATTCTACCTGGAGATATTCTCTTCTTGGACAGATCCTTTACTCAGGTTATATCCTAGATATTCCATCCCTAGCTGTATTCTACCTGGAGATATTTATTCTCTTAATGGACAGATCCTTTACTCAGGTTATATCCTAGATATTCCATCCCTTGCTGTATTCTACCTTGAGATATTCTCTTCTTGGACAGATCCTTTACTCAGATTATTTCCTAGATATTCCATCCCTAGCTGTATTCTACCTAGGGATATTCTCTTCTTGGACAGATCCTTTACTCAGGTTATATCCTAGATATTCCATCCCTTGCTGTATTCTACCTAGAGATATTCTCTTCTTGGACAGATCCTTTACTCAGGTTATATCCTAGATATTCCATCCCTAGCTGTATTCTACCTAGGGTTTGCAGCGAACGAAACATTACGCGAAAAAATTTTCAATCGGATTTTGCAAATTTATTTGAGAAATTTCACATTTTCTCGCGAAAATAAAAGAAGTGAATAATGTGAAAACGATATAAGTGCAAAAATGTTTTTCGGGAAAAAAAATTCCTCGAAAACCGTAAGTGTTATTGCTGCAACAATTAATTGCCTAAAAAATTCTCTGCTCTGATAAATCCCAATATTTGAAGTTTTATTAAGCCATCTTATCTTGCTTTATCTATTTTGCAAAAATTTCTTTTTTTCGCGAAAACTACGAAATTTTCGCAAAACGATTTTTCCTTTTCCCTGCAAACCCTAATTCTACCAGAGATATTCTCTTCCCTGACAGATCCTTCACTCCTTTAGGTCATTGTACAGTGTACAATTGCATACATATATAGATTCTGACTGAAATGTACTTTATTTATTTGAGAAATCTAGAAAATATATATAACTAGCTGTAGCTTTAGTGCCCTTGTTGGTAGAATCTACATTCTACAATCTAGGATTAAACACAAATTGTGCGACATTAATGATGATTTTCAATTCTTTAAAGGGAGTGTTCGCGAAAAATGAAAGGGAGTATAGACTTAATGCGATAAAAAAGCGCTTTTGATCGCTACTAATCTTACTTCTATCTGTTGCGTCTATAAGGAGAAAATTGTAAAAGACGTCTCATAACGAATAACTTAGCGCCCATACATATTCAGAAAATTGCAACATAAAACTTAGACCGTAAAAAATCAATTTAATTTCAAAAAAATCATTCAGATATTACAACCTATAGTCATCGATTATCTTTCGCCACATTTGTATTTAGTTAATATTTTATTTTTTTAGAAAACGTTTTAACGGATTTCGAAAAATGTGAGTGGTGCGCGGCATTCTTAGATAGTTGCGCAAGCTACAAGAGTAATAATCAAATTCAAAACAAATTAATTTAAAAATATTATAAAATATAAACTATATACAAATGTGGTGAAAGATAATCGATGACTATAGGTTGTAATATCTGAATGATTTGTTTGAAATTAAATTGATATTTTACGGTCTAAGTCATATGTTGCCATTTTCTGAATTTGTATGGGCGCTAAGTTATTCGGTATGAGACGTCTTAAACAATTTTCTCCTTATAGACGCAACAGATAGAAGTAAGATTATTAGAGATCACAAGCGCTTTTTTTATCGCATTAAGCCCCTTTCATTTTTCGCGAACACTCCCTTTAAACACCAAGATAGAAGTTTAAACTGTAGTGAGAGCTAATATTGGATTTTAGTTTGCGACTTAATAATAATATCTATAATTCTAATTATCTAGGGAAACCTATAACGGTGGGTTGAACCGGTTTCCAGGAGGTTTAGATTGGTTAATCAGTAATCTTATGGTTTATATACTCTCTGGTTCACCAGTTCCATCTGCTAGATTCATCTTCGAGAATAGAAACATTGTGCTTCCGAATATACAGGTAAACTGTACACTGTACACTGTACTAAGGATTCAGTACATCCTAGCTATACTGTACATGTAGTGTCAGTTAGATTTAACAACACATAGAGGACGTTATGTTATGTTTAACCATATTAGCTGGAAACATTATACTAACGTTCGTACGCACAGTGAAGACCTGCACTGTGCTGTGAGAATGCACGTAGAGGACCTATTGAGGGCTCACTATATTGACAACTTATGATAACCCAGATTGAGGACGCACATTGGGTCGCATAATTTTGCGAGTGTGACATACACAGAAACAAACTAACTTCAACGTAGCTTAATCAAACAAAATGCTAAATCTTACAGCATTATGATTCAATGCATATTTTGTAAGGTTCCAACTGCAGTAGCTGTATACCCCAAGAACCCATTCCCTTTACCTGGAGGGCTACCAAGGGCTTTTCTACCTAGAAGGTATATTATACATTAATACTATAAAAAGCAAATTGTAATCTGTGTCTGTCTGTCTGTCTGTTTGTTTGTCCAATCAAAACTCAGGAACCCTTTGACCGATTAAAGAATATGGTTCAATATATACAAGAATTTTGTTCAGATTAAAGAATATGGTTCAATATACAAGAATATTGTTCAGATAAAAGAATATGGTTCAAGATACAAGAATATTGTTCAAATTAAAGAATATGGTTCATACAAGAATATTGTTTAGATTAAAGAATGTGGTTCGATATACAAGAATATTGTTAATATTAAAGAATATGGTTCAATATACAATAATTTTGTTAAGATTAAAGAATATGGTTCAATATACAAGAATATTGTTCAGATTAAAGAATATGGTTCAAAATACAAGAATATTGTTCAGATTAAAGAATATGGTCCAATTTACAAGAATATTGTTAAGATTAAAGAATATGGTCCAATTTACAAGAATATTGTTCATACAAGAATATTGTTCAGATTAAAGAATATGGTTCAATATACAAGAATATTGTTCAGATTAAAGAATGTGGTTCGTTATACAAGAAAGAATGTGGTTCGTTATACAAGAATGGACTCTGGAGGGTACTATCCTGCACTAGAGAACCCAAGACGTTTACAGACGGATATTTTTGCATTTGTGAAACAAGTTCAAAGTAAAACATGAATTTAAAGAATATAAGGGATAAATCATTAAGAATTCCCATTATTCTAATTGATGTTGTTTTTATGGCAATTTTAATCTGATAGAGACAAAAAAAAACAATAAAAACTTTTTTTAAGTATTAAACACTTACTAAACTTTATATTTGATTAAACAAAGTTGAATTCTAGTATTCAATAAACAAACTAGCTGTGTTCTCTTTTCTTATATATATTTGTTATTTAGGAAACAAGAACATTAATTCATTTCATGTCAACTGACTCAGATTAGTTGCAGGCTACGGTTTTCATCTTATCAAAATTCTTTTTTCCATTTATTTACTTTATTATGTCAAAGAAAAAATATCATTTATTTAAAACATTTATTTTAGATGAATATACAGTTACACACAATACACATAGCACAATAAATATTTGGAGAATAAATTGGCGCACAGTATTTCATAACTTTTAGCTTTAATTTTAATTTTTAAAACCTCTACAAAACTAGCAATCATCACAACAAGGACATATTATTGTTGGGTCCAAAGCTGAAACAAGATTTTATGTAGTCGTGAAATAAATATTGGGTCACATATGATATTCTGTAAACTTGCAGTACATTGTACATTATTAATTATCTATGTTTGTAAACTTCTACGTAAAAACCATTGAACTTCATTTCAAATGAATACGTAGCAGCATGATTAGCTTAAACCCATTTAATATGTACGTTGTATCTAGTATCCGGCCTAGATTTCCTGGTTTCCTGGTGATTTATAAACAATAATATTACCAAACCGTAGACCATTCACACAGTATTTACAGTTTTATCAAAACCATCATTCCGTGTTATACCGATTACCGTCAATCCACGCAAAAACATTACATTCAACTTATAAACATGTGTGGAGATAGCTTAACTACATTATACCTATCCTCGTTGACGTTAATCCTATATATTCACATCTTAAATCCGCCTATTTCAACTGTTCTGTAATTTGATAAGATAACGATGTAGGAATTGTAAGTACGTCTATTAACTTTAACTTGTAGCATATAAACCACAAACACAATCAGTTAGAATCAGAACTCCGCTTTGATCAGTGTAGAGTAATTGTACCCCGTTGAGTATTCGGGTTGAGAGCTTACCTCAGTATAGGGTAAAGTTTGATTAAGGGCTTGATAGATGGTCAATGCTTGTGTCCCTGTGTGACATTTAGAGCTAAAGTAAGAGCTTGTTTTATGGCTACGCTTGTGTCCCTTTGTAGCATTTAGAGCCTGAGTAATAGCTAGATTGATAAGCCCTGTGTAGCATTTAGAGCCAGGTGTGTTGTGTATGGCATTGTAAGAGTAAGGCATTTGCTACAGTCGCACTCGCAACCAGTCGCTATTAATAAGTTAAATATGGTTTAAAGCATACAAGAAAAATCATATTCCTACTTCGGAACTTTTTCCCCTTCATTCGTTGACGGGGAAAATTGTTCTTGTCGATCTTACATCCAGTTTAGTACAGAATGTTTTGAAGGCAATTTTCAAATTTACAAAATATACTTTTTTCTGATTTAAAACATGCCGGGCATGATTTACCACTTTAACAGATTTGACATAGTACAGGTTGACAAGAGTTATTGTAAAGCAGATTACAATGTTGGAAACTACTCTTTTTTCCATGGTCGAAATAAACATAAGAAACACAATGACCAACATGATAATTGTTGCTCCCGTGATCAATTTCTTAAACTCTATCCCGTTCTGTTGAGTGTTTGCAGTTTCATGGCGGATGATCTGCGCATGGCGGTGTTTTAGATGCTGCAGGTTAAAAATATACACTCCAACCATTAGAAGAACAGCAAGGATGATGTTTATTAAATGGGCGTACGTGAAAAAATACGGAGAATTATAGAAAGGGATCCCCACTGTGTACCCAGCAACGCCTATAAACCCAAATACAAATCAACAATGTAGAAATGAAAATTAATGGAAAGGAGTATATATATGTCGTATGACCTTAAATATCTAAAACTTTGAATTCTGTTAGATCAAATAATTAAAGTTTTAAATATCTAAGATTTACAGAATCAGGTTTAAAAGATATAAAGTTAGACACATTTGAGTATGTGTCAAAGATGTAATTCCTTTCCGAACTCATGAATGAAAAATAAAAAATGACTGAATACTTTTTTCAAAAGGAAAATTTCTTTTTGTTGTTAACTTTTTGGAAGTCAACCCCATTGGATGGTAACACATTGATGAAATAAAAGCTATTTTAATTTTGGCAAACCGCAAGGAATGGATTGTAAAAAGTGTGATCCTAGTTTATGGTTCAAATCCAACCTGTATTATAGATGATTGCTGCGATGATTAGGGTGATAGGTAGATAGAACACAGCAATACAGATAAGTAGATATCTAGCTTTTACTTCAGGATCCAGGGCTATCATGCGATCAAACTAAATATAGGGAATATTATTTTATCTACTTTTTATTTCCAATCAACGCGTTCAAAACCTAATTTCGTCTTAATCTGGGATTTTCCATATTTTATCAAAAATTGTGAGCTTAAAACATTAATTAAAGGGACTGTAACACTATAGTTTCAGTAGAAGTAAATATTTCCATTTACTGATAGCGTGTTTTTGTATTTCAAGTAACCCTTTATGCATAGCTAACCATACCCGATTCCCAGCTGTACCATTGCAACCTTTATCTGATCAATAGTGCGAAATATATTGCTGTTTTTTGTAGGTTTAAAGGTGTTTAAATCTGATAATTCCATTTTTTCCTGCAGTAGAAATGCGCAATTGTCACTCTAATACAGAAACCAAAAATAAAAAAAATCAGTCTTTAAAATTAAAAACATTGATATCTAATAAATACTTGATCAGATAAAGGTTTCAAGGGTACAGTTGTAAATCGGGCATTGCCATCTTTGCATGGAGAGTCACTTGAAATCGCGCTTACAGTCCCTTTAATTTAATAGTTACCCTGAGAACCATGAGAAGTCTGAGAACTGCTTGTACTCCACTCAGTCCTATCGCCACGAACCCAAAGTACGGTGTAATGACGAGAACTATGTATCCTAGCACAGGACTCAGGTTACCTAGCAGTGAGGTTCCCATCAGGATCAAAGCCTGAACAACCAAAGAATACATTGATACATTCGAGAAGAAATAAGTAAAACAAAAAGAAAGTCTGTTTTCAAAGTGAACCTTTATTCTAAAGAGATGAATACAGACAACAAAGCTGATGATATGCTATCAAATTTTACTTTGTCGTTTCGTTTTGACTTTTTGAAACCTATTATCTAAGTTTTAGATTGACGCTTTTGAAAACGAAAAAAACATAGTTTTGAAAAAAAAAACAATCGTTTTTGTCAAAGTGTTTTCAGTAAAATTGATTAAAAATTATACTGATGCAAAGTTTATTTATGTTGTCTTGGAAATGTTGGTTTTTGTGAATTTGCTTTCTGATAACAGCATCATTGCAAGTTTTCATGCTTTAAATCCATATATTTTTTTAAGAAACGGTTTTTTTTTCTTTAAAAAACGATTGTTTTTACTTTAATTAATTAAGCAAAAAAACTATTTCAAAACAATAGTGTTTCTTACTTTTGGTAGTGATTGTTTACAAATTGGTCCCTTTAAAAAAGGAGTTTCGTTTTTTTTCTAAACTATCTTTTATTTTTCTTCTTCTTTTTAGAAACGTATTTAAAAACGATCATTTTAAAATGTATTATTTACTCGTTTACAAAATAAAATTTAACCCCCTAAGGGATTCAATGATAAACCCGAGGGTCTAATCATTTACTATTAAAAACGATCATTTTAAATGATTATTTGTTTTAATTTTTTATTGCAAACAAAACGATTAAAGTCGTTTTTCAAAAAAAGTGAAAACTGCCAAATTGAATTTAAATCAAGATAACTTACATTTACAGAGACGAAGAGGTTGTATGCCTCAACAATGTAGTAGTTGACAATAAGCAAGATGTTAAGAGAACCCCCGGGAATTGAATTCTTATATAACCTCATCATTAGAGCCAGTAGGTTGGACAAACACAGAATTGTGAGAAAAATTACAAAAACCCATGGCTCCTCCTTGTAACTTGACTCCAAGGCTTGTTGAAAAATGCTAGAATTTCCCCCATTTATCATGATTAAATATATTTTAACTGTAGTGTTTATGTGTAAAGAACCTTGATATCAATGAATATAAATCAGCAAAATATTCTCTTAAATATAGATCCAGTTCTGCTCTAACAAGAGAGAAGATTCAAACCTGTCACAAAAATATCTTTAACAAGTGAAAAATAATTGATAAAATAATTGAAAATATTTAAACAAAGGTTATTTATTTATCTATCTTGATAGTTATGAGAGGTTCAAATGCGAAAAACTAGTTGTATATATATTTGAGTATAAATAATTGAAACGTTTCAAGATATTTATCACCACCATCCTCATACAGTCTATGCCCTGTATTTTAATTTATTTCGTCGTTAACCCTGTTCAGGCTGACGTCTGGTTTAC